GACGAATTTTTTAAATTGTTAAGTTAATAGGTTTTGATAAGAACAATTCCGATCATTGATGACCCCTTTATCAGTCAATTCCCTTCCCTTGATTTTTCCCAATTCCCTTGACTTCATCTCCAACCGATGAATACATTCTAAAGATGACATCTATTAATCAAATCCCTTGTTTTGCTTAGATCAAAACATTTTCTTTAACAATCATCCAAAGGTTGTCCATAATCACCTTTCGGTTTATTTCTGGACAATTCATAATATAGAATTAATAATTTAATGAATTCTTTAGACCATTCTACCCAACTTTATAGAAAATTAGAGAAAAAAACTGAAATTATCTTGCGAAGGGTTATGAATGACTTTTTTCCTATCGCTCAAGGTCCATATTTCAGTTATCAATCACTAATCTTTATGACAATGGCAATGGAGCGAAAAAAATATAAATGCAGAGTAACTCTAATTAACATAGAAAGATTGTCGGCGAGAATCGTTTTCGATTACTATTCGGTTATTCGGTTATTTTTTTTTTACTCAGTCATTCAACTGATTGTAAAAAGAAATAAAGGATCTAAAAGCCTAAAAATAAGCTTTCACTTAAAATCTGAAGACCATAATTCACTGTCAACAATAGTTACATTAGTCAAGGAGATTCATGCTCCAGATATGTTTTCAACCGATGCGTAACACCTCCTCACCTCTTCTTAAAACTCGCTATATTTCTTTGATATCTTTTATCACTCTCTTAATCTTACTCTGAATCCTAATTTTAACACGTCTACACTATTCATCCTTAATACCTCGATCCTCCACCTCACCAACTTCCTTCTTCTTCATCACAGTCATTGCTGTAACCTTTATAATTTATATCATAAATTATAGTTGTGATGCACTGCGAGATTTGAAAAACATTAAGGCAACATAAAAGGGGTGGGCAATGAAAATATATAACTGGGTTTAACAATAGTAAATCAGCAGAAAATGGTCTGGATCATGAAGTACACTAAAATACAGAGAGGTCTTGTACGTGCTAAGGTGGTTCACTTTAATATAATAGACATTTGAAATCGGAGAACAAATGAAGCCACTACCAGTATCCCTCTAGGACTTTTACATCCATTGACTTAGGGAAGTTTTCTTTCTGAAACAAATACTACCTATGATGCACCTTTTCCAAAGAATATTTCATAAATTCCATAAGCATTAAAAAAATTCGTTTCCTGTTTCCATGTTTCCGTGAAACCTTCAATTTAACCATAATTATTACTTTTCAATTTTTATTGATGTGGAAATTAACGAATCACTACAAAATTTGCAAGAAAAGATATAATGCAATAAAAATTTATCAACGAGTGGAATGTAACAAGAAGGCACAAAAATGTTCTGAAAAAATGAATATTTACAAATATTGTAATAAAAAAAGAATATATATAAATTACAGCAGAAGCAAAAATGAAATGAAATGAAATAATTATCGGAAACCAGTTCCTTTCCCCTATAAATATCGTTCAGTGGATCAAATTATTTAAATAAAATATACGAGAAATATATGAATATAAAAAAAATAATTTGAAGAAAAAATCCTAAAATTTATAAAAATAAATATTGGATCATGAATAAGGTCAATGGACAAGAAATACGGCCAAAAAATGAAAGCTCAATGCGAGATTATGAAGATGAAAAAAATAAATTTTAAATAAAGTTTATTTATCACATAATTATGTAAATTTCATTCAACCCATTATAAACTATTAAATAAAGTAACAATTGTCCTTTTGATGCCTTATTTTTGGTTAGTTCTAATTTCTAATTTATAATTATTCAAATTCTTCCATTCTTTCTTGAAAAAAAAAATAGAATAATTTTTAAAAATATTCTCAATTTTCGAAATTTTTGAAAAGCGCAATTTTGCAATAATAAAAAAATATATATTAACGCATTTATAAATGATGAATGCCTTTCATATTTTAAAAAAACTTGAGTATTAAGTTTTTACCAAAAACTATTATAATGTTATTAATAACATCTCTACTAAAATCAAATGAAAATTTAACAAAAAAGATCAGAAAATGTACCTGATCACAGGATACATTGGTGTCAAGAATACGAAATGAAGACGAGAAGGATCGCAAAAAGACGACTGTAAAAACGAAGATGATCGCTGCCATTAAGAAACAAAGGGTTTTTATCGGCGGGCTGTTGCCGCTCCTCTTACGATGGGTCGGATAAGGTGTAATTCACTGCCTTCTGAGATAATTGGCACATTCCATGCGCGATGATGATCTATCAATTCGACAATCGTTTCAAACACTTGACTTTGCTTACGAACCTGAAATTCTCTCGACCGGTTATCAAAAATGAAAGAAATGAAATTTGATTAGTTTTGAATTTGAAAATTAGTAAGCTATGATTTTATACGACATGACTAAAAGTTAAGAAATAAAAAAAATATAAAAAATAGTCTTGTATCATAAAATTGATATTAATAAAGGACAATTTTGCACGGACGATAAAAACTTGCCAATATATGTCATGAATAAAATTATTTAAAATAGTTTTTAAAGACGCCTTCCAAAAGAAAAAATTAAAACTAAATGTGTTATTTTAAATAAAATAAATAAGACGTTAAAAATAAAAAAAATTCATATGATTCAAGAATGAGAATGAATGAGGTTAAACAAACTTTTAAATCATTCTCATCAAGAAGAAGAAAGTGTTTAGGAACTGAATTGGTAAATCCAGAAAGCACGAAATTATTGGTAGTACTTCGACTGAGACGAACGAGAAAGTCCCCCTCATTACGCAATAAAGATTCTGCACTGGCACGATCAATCTCTCCATGGAACCAAATTTTTTTATCCAAGCCTTTAGCCACTGGCAATGAACAAATATTCATATATTCATGATCTGTAATTGCATATCGAAAAAATTGGAACAAAAATAATAAAGAATAATAAAAAATTATAGACTATATTTTTTGCTAAATTCTTTTGCTAAATAAAATAAGACCACAATAAATCATTATATATATTATTCCATATGAAATCAAGCAAATAGTAAAAGTTCGATTAATCAACCTTATTCAAACTTACTATAATAAAGCGGAAAAGAAGGATCCATTGTAAAGCAACCAATTGATTTTTTTCTATTAAATCCTGTAAGAACAACTAATATATGCAGAAGTTTTAGAAAAAATTCGCCAAAATTATAATGAAATATTTAATTCCAAACAAAAAAAATATAAAACTGATGGACTGCCTTCATTTTTTAGACGAAAGATTTTCCCCATTGTCTCCATAATGAAATCGACACTACCATCTGGCTCTTGGAAAACTAAACAACGTCTTCCAGCTTCCTTATTTATATTAGAAACGAAACAAAGAATTCCTTTAAGGCAGTCCTATAAAAACATTTTATGTTAAGTTTAAGCTTTGAAATAATTTAGAAAATTGACATCGAAAAATCTCATATAGGAATTATGTTACCATTTTATTTTTTCCATTTTAAAGAGATAGGCTATGTCGAAATAATTCTATGCAAATTTAAAGTAAATTTAAAGCCGAAGAATTGCTTGCCACATAAAAATTAAGAAGCTTCATTTTTTACAAGTACTTCATTTTTAATTGAACTGAACCTCTCTGCCCGGTGAAGCAAACGATATTACATCAATTGGATGATGTTCTATAATTCGTAAACCATCATCATCGATGATAACAAATGCATATAATGCAACGTTTAATTCAACAATTTTGTTAACCACTGTGATAGAACCAATTTTCTGACATAATGGAAATATTAAATAACAAATAAAACTATATAAAACAATTATATATATATATATATATAATCTGAGATGATATGGCTTAGACCCCCCCCCCCCAAGATCAGATCGAAGATTTCTCAGACAATCGTGGAGAACAACAAAGTCAAAATCCAAAGGAACTTCTCCATCCAGAAAATAAGTACTGGTCTTATATCGTTGTAGCAAACAAAAGCTAAAATCAACACTGATTATGGACATAATAAAGTGAAAGGAACATTAGGAAGAAAGAATATAATTTAGAGAAATACTAGAAGCTGGAAGAGAGACTAGAGCAAATATGGAAAGTGAAAGCCAGAGTAGTTTCTGTGGTAATAGTATCACTAGGAGTGTGAGTCCCAAACTAGAAAAGTGGCAACAGATTCCAAGAATATATCAGAGATATCAGTTCACTACTAGAAACAGCTAAGATACTGCGCAGAAAACTCAAACTATGCCTCTGATGGAAGACCAAAAGTTGAGAATAAAACATATCACCCAGGGAGAGAGACTATGATAATAATAAAAAAAGTTCGCCCAACAGATGGAAAAACCATGTTCAAATTGAAGTAATCATATTTTCTGACGTACCCTCAAAACTTCAGATTTTTTCTAGGAATATTTACCATTTCTAGTTAAACTCACTGGCTTGTCGGACTAAACAGATTTTTCCAAGTTAGTAGAAGAGCAGACGCATCGCCAGTATCAGATTTCCATTATCTTTTTTCATGCCTCGCCTCCTCCCAGCTTCCGTTATCCTCCCATAATGCATCCCTCACCATCATATTGCTCCTCATGGTTTCGCAACTTGTCACAACAGAAAAAATGAATCATGAATTTTAAGGAGAGCATTGATGGAACTACGTGGTATTAAAGGGCTATAACTAAATCTAAGGAAGTTCAAGTGGCAAAAAGTGGTTCAAAACGATCAATAATGAATTATGGCAAGAGTTTAGCACGACGCTCATGGTTATTCAGTCGGATTAAGAGAGATTTTTCCAGCTTTAAAGAATATTTAACGATTTCCATATAATAATTGGAGATTTCGAAGTATGAAGCCGTGGTCTCATTTGTTGTTCTTTTCTGGATATTACAGATACAGCAATTTATCTAATACATATTTATCTGTCGCTTAAAAATCAAAAATATTGGTTCACCGAAAGGAGAGATTCATCTACAGTTGGATTGGGTGGTGAAATATTTAGACGGCTGCAAACCAGATACATGCAATGCCTGAAAAACTGATGACAAATAGTCTTTACTTATTAAAGTACACCACCGGAATTTATTTAGAGATAATTTACAAATGGCATATTTAATATTTTATAATAAAAATAATTCGTAAAAACATAATAAAAAACATAATAATTTTAAGATGAAAAGCAATTTTAAAAAATAAATATTCCAAAATAAAGGGCATTCATCCACTTTAAAAATAGATATTAACATAAAAAATGACTCATTTATTAAATAACTTTTAAATATAAAAAAACCTCGTTAGATTTTCTCTTTCGGCTGAGTCGCTTAGCTTCTTTAATGATTCAAGTATTGACACATAACCCAAATACTGCAAAAAAATCTGCTTTAAAAGCTAAAAAAAATTCATAAATAAGTTCAAGAACAAAAACTGATATAAAAGAATAGAGCCAAGTAAAACAGAAAGAAGTGTAAAAGAAAATAAATCCACCAAATATTTGCACAATTCACCACTACACCAAAAAAAATTAAAATAAACTATAAAATCGCAACAGGTAAATTAAAATTTAAGGAATTTAGAAATCAAAAATCTATTGTAAAATTCGCATATTATGCATAAGTATTAAAAAATAATTAAATAATATGATTAAAAAATAAGGAAAACAAATTTTTTGACGAAAATGAAAAATAAACTTGGATATAAAAGAAAGCAATAAATTAGAGATAGAAAACTTTATTTTACCATATCACCCAATTCATTCAATAACGAGTATTTTAGCTAGGCTAGAGCGGCTGGCTATTAGTAAGGTTAGAATTTTCGCCAACAAATCGTAATCATTTGCGACAGAAGTACAAGTATGTGGCCATCACCACCAGAATTTTTCAGTATTATTTCTCTCGAAAGAGAGAGTTTCCATATCTCACCGGTTGCACCCAACATTAGAAAATTTTTTATTTAGATTGAATTTGTTAGATATATTCTAATCAAAAACAAAAAATAACTTAAATTTAAAATCATTAATTATAAATTAACAATTTCTGTTTAAATTAATCAATTTTGTTTCTATCCAGTGTGCAATTGAATACGCAATGTGCAATTGTAGAAGGAAAGCTCGCAAGACTAATGGTTAAGCTGGCACTGTTGGCTACTTTGGAGATTCGAAGAAAGATTCAGAGCCAGACGACAGATAAAATATCTAAAAGCATCAGCGGCCACTCCTACTTTTCACCTTTAAGCCCATGTATCGCTGAGTTGCCTATACGTTCAAAATTTCTTCTGGTTGTATCAGTTCATGTTTTGATTAATCTTTCTCGCTTCTGAAACCATCCTTCATAAGTATATATAGTAAGTAGCGATGTAAGTATGCTTAATTCCCGCGAAAAGCGGCGAAGGAGATGGTTTAACCATCGCAATAAGAGAAACCGTTAATACAAATGATATTTGAGTAAAGATGGATGAAAACGTGATGTTTTATCCGCTCGGAATGTAAAGTGTGCTCTAAATATAATAGGTCAAACGTAGGTAGCTTTCCAATATCTTACATTTTATTGATCACGTTTTTTCGCAGCTACGTAATGAGCTACGAGCTACAAGTCAGGTAGAAGTTCGTTTTGATAGTGATTCCGTGGTGATTCCAAAGAAGTTTCGCCTGATGAAAGAAGATATTTCTAGTAATTATCAGCACAGTTTCATATTTTTCATGTTGTATAAGAATGCATCGAAGAAATTTAAAGTCTGGCACTTTTACGAGATGAATTGATAGAATAGGTATTTTTCTCAATGCCATATAATACGAAAAGACTTTCATCTCTAATTCTTCTGACAGATTTAAGCAAAATTTTTATCGATGCACTGTCTAGGATCTCTTACATTTCTTCATACGTGTTTATAAGATCTATGATAATATGCTTTGGACTGACTTGTATACCTCTTGAATGCCTCAGCGAGCGGTGTCCATAATCTAATCTATCTCATAATTGAATGCTGTAGGGCAAATTACGTAATCCTTACAGATATCAGTTTTATCTGTCTAACTTCGTCAATTCACAATCGAATTATTAAAAAGGCGCGTTTTTTCAAAAAAACATACCTTCAATGAAAAAGTAACACCAGTTTGTAACTCTTTCAAAAGTTCTTTATCACCTATTGCATTCATTTTCACAAAATCTGCTATTTTTCTGAAGAAAAATTTCACCTGAAATTTGAAATGCTAAAAAATATGGTGTGAAAGTGTGTCAAAAAAAAAGCAATAAAAACTGCAAATTAGTGGAAAAAGAAAACTATTGCACGCTTTAAATGAGAAAATAATAAAGAATAATAATAATAATAGAGAGAGAAGGAGTGACCTTCTGGCAAATTCCTGGCGAGAATGAAATAGGGCGATAAAAGTGGAGGAATGAAGAGCGAATAAAAGGAAAGAAAGAAGGAAAAGAAATAAGAATACTGACAAATAATAGCAGCGAATCGGATAGTTAAAAAGTCATCTTTTTTGAATTCATTTGGATCCCTCTGGATTCCTCCCACTACCCTTCCTTAACCTGTGAGTTATAATTCAAAGCAATATTACTTAAAACTAAAAAAAGATTGAAGAAAAAAACCAGAGCAGAGTTTCCGAATTTACAAATTTCCTGCTCTCCTAAGCCGACCTCTAGAATTGTTCGGCTTCGAATATTACTAACATTCGGCTTTATGATTTAGGGAGGCTGAAAGGCATTATTCTCCCCCCAATCTAATTGTTTGGGTCGCAAGATGCCGACAGTTGCCACGTAAGTTAAATGTTTGTCGATAAATTAGTGAAGTAAATTTTAATTATTTTGCTTATTAATAGAAATGGCTTTATTAATTTGATTAAATAGTATAAAAATAGGCCTTTTTTAGTTTCCCATCTAAATGTGATACGCTTAGCTAAATTGTCTTCATTTGTGGCATTCATGTCTTATTTCGTACGGAGAATTAGGGAATTTGGTCACCTAAGGGCATCCACGCGGTGCGACTTGCGGGGTCCGCAGGCGCCAGCGGTGAACATCGTATAAGGCACCAAGTTTGGCAACGTTTTCTCATTGATCTTTATTAAATTTTGCTTTATTTTCATTTCTTTCCTAAGAAAAAATATTTTTTCTTAGGAAAGAAAATAAAAAACAATGTAAAAGACGAGCTGAAAGTGAAATAAGAAATTTTAAACGAAGTCGGCTGCAAATTAATTCACCTCTGGCAACGAATTCAACTCGTAATTTTTCTTCCAACGAGTGTTTTATTCAGCCATCTTCCGTTATTTCTTCAATAAAAACAGTAGCAGCAAAATCAACAGCTCAACAGCCAGTATGCTTTTTTTAAAATTCTTTGTTAGGTAAGTCAATATCTAAATTATCAATGTCAATAATAATAATAATAATAAATAGGGAATAATTTTTCAGAGATTTTGCCATGTAATTTGGTAACTTCGTGATATTTTCAAGTTTTATAGTTTTAAATTAAATTATGTGGTAGATCGTAAAATTAAAATCAAAAAATCTGGTAAATTTATTGTTTAAAAAAATCTTTTGAAAAAAGTTTCGCTTAAAATTTAATTTAAAATTTCATATTCTTAGATTACCACTTTGCTAAAATTTGCTGAATATAAATTAAATAATTTTCCATGAATAATTTTTCGTTTCCATAAATTGGTTTTAAAGGATTAAAAATTTGAAAAACAAAACTTTTTTCTTTTTGTATAAGTTTTTAGTATAAATATAAAGTATAAAGTTTAGTATAAAGTTTTTAGTAAGGAATTTAGGTTAAAACTTAGGGTTTTATAGAAAATGCCAAATTTTAATTCTAAGATGCGAATTTTTATAACGATTTTTTAAAAAAATTAAGATTATTTTCGATTTAAAGCATATTTCATTAAAGTTCTAGTGGGATATGGCCACTACATTCATTATTTAATAAATTTTCAATCACTTTAATAAATTTTTTAAAAATTAACATTATTAATTTTAAATCTTGATTAAATCCAATTACTTTTAATTAAATTTGTTAAATTTTGGGAATTAATTTCATTTCACTAAGATTTAATTTCAATTAGACTTTAATTTTAAATTCATGGACGAAATTGATGCACAATTTAATAAATTGATTGTAGAATGAATGCGATCTTTCGTCGTGGAATGTCGGTGCAATGCGTAAAACTTTAGATCAAGTGAATGTCGGTTGCCAGATTAGTTTTTCTCTGGTCATTTTTTTTTGAAATATCAACCATTTTTTTGTTTTCTTGATTTCGTCTTATATTTTAGGCTAATGAAAAAATGAAATTTGATTGTGATCATAGAATTCACTGTTCGGATAATACCACAAAACTTAATAATACTGAAGTGGATGATGTTCTTCCACACTTTTCTAATTCTCACTGTTTTCAAGTAGGTTATCTTTTATTATTGCTTATTATATCTCAAAGTTTTTTTCGTATACATTTTTATAACTTGTTTATAGTTGGCCAAAAACATTTAATTTCATTTTCAGAATGTAAGCAAATAATTTATATCCAAATTTTCTTAAGTAACATCCTGTTCTTTCCAGAGAAATTCCTTGTCGGTGTCATTAACAAATTTGGAAGATCTGCCTCATTTTTCATTCAAGCAGGTTCATTTATTTATGTTTTTTTTGCTTGATCATTATATAAACTTTAACTGTTTTTTGATCTTAGTAATTTTTTTAGGTACAAAGAGTTTGTGAAAGGTTGTTAAAAGAGCAAGTTATTCGCCTTCGTTTTGAATATGAACAGGAATTAATAAGGCGTTTTGAAGGTTATTTTTATTTTCCATAATTCACCATTTTAAATTTCAAAATATCCCATCCAAAATATTTGTGCATCTAACTGTCAACACTAGAGAAGGTTTATATCCACCAATTTGCATTTTTTCAGGTTGGGTCTTTAGATAAAATTTTAGGTTGTAAATTTCTTTCATTTTTAAAACTTATAAGAATTACAAGTGAATTCCCAAATTATGATTCTCTTTTCTTTTGTAGAACAACGTAAACAGTTTATACAGTTTATCAAAGAACAGAACATGAATAATGTTGATGAAGGTCGTTGGGGCTATCTGTCATGATTTAACATAACTTGATTGATCTTTCTACGATGTACTTTATATGATGCAAATTATTTTAGATTTTTTATTACAATTTTTTTATCTTTTATAATGTTTGGTTTAGCACCAACTTCTTTCTTGGTGAATTTTTGATATTGTAATTATTGTAAAATTTTTGCTCAATTCAATAAATATTTCGATTTCATTTTAGATTTGGATAGTTTTTATGGATTTATTGCGAAATAATGCTTTAAATAAATTTATCTAAAGACGTAATTTTTGAGTAAATTAATGGGAGGTAATTTGATGGGATGTTTGGTTCAGTTTTCAGTTTGATATATTTCTCCTCTCTTTTTAGGTCATTGTAGCCGAATAATATCTAGATTATCAATTATGCATAGGTTACATCAGTGGTTTGGTCCATGCATCTGATAAGAAAGGATTTGTTAATAAAATGCTGCAGCAGTTATAACGATTCATTTATTTTTCTATCTTTATGTGGCTATTCGATGAAATCATCTACTAATAACCGAAGCACAACCATAAAAGTTGATGACTTCATTTATCTACCATCTCGACTTAGAGTCAGGGTAGTACTTATCATTATGTTAAAAGTACATTTCATTTTTTTAGCAAGATACCATTATTGGTTGAGCTGGTTCCATTAGCATAAAGGTGAGGCGTTTCCAAACTTCCATACTTGAAAATAATACAAGCCATCCCTTGTCCTATCGTCTAAGCCTATTATGTAGGGCTAGATCTTGACTGTTGCTTTTGCCTTTTGATATTTTATATCACGGCGATATGCAATATGTGCATCAGTTCCTGCGATGGACAACGAGGAACATTTCCTAACAAACGTAACGAAGGTATTTGAGTAAAGATGGATACAATCATGCAAGATTCATCGCGCACCTAAGGTGCACCCTAGACATATAATCGATAGTTTGTTCTTTGATACCTACTTTCATTTGCATCAATATGTAGCAAGGTAGACTATGGCCAAATAGGTTCGAAGTTCATTTTCACTGATAATTTCGAGGATTTTATAGATTTTATAGAGGTTTTTCTAGACGCGAATCGTTTCCATATTCAGAGCCAGATCACTCCAAAAATGGTACAGTTGCTGTTCCGAACCATCCGATGCCATCTGACATGCGTACTCTTTTCGGATAGTTGGACTATTGTTTTCTATACCCAAATAACATATTTCAATGTATTCCGATGTCACGCCTTTAAGTTAGGATTAATATTAATATTTATTTAATATTCGTTCTAGAGGTCCTTGATATTTATATCACTGAGGTCTTTCAACAAGCATTTACTTTTAGTTTAAGATTGAAAAATTTTTGTGTGTTTTATAGACGCGTTATCAGTTTTCGTGTACATCTTAGCACAAATCACATAGCATGGTCTGGTCCCTTAAAGGAACGGTTGGCGGGTATATGGATCTCTTCAGATGGCCATTGACCAAGCTATGTTCAACCCAATTGGAGCACTGGTTAAAAGTTCCATTTCAAGATGTATTCTGCGATATTCATATATTGGCAGCAAAAAGTCCATGCTGCTTGGCAAAGCGACAATGCTGGACGCCGGCGCCATATTTGCCATCTGCAGAACCCATTATTATACATGTGCGCGCATTTCAGGCTGCCTTGGTTGTGACCATGTTTTGAGAAAAATGTTATTAGCACTTGAATTTTTTCAAAGAATCTATTTTTGTCACTGTTATCTGCGCATAAAGTAGAAATAGGTGACTGAGATATTGCAGTTTCTCTTTGAATCATTAAGCCATAAACGATATTCCACGCAAGACGGAACTCTTTCAGATGACAGTTGCTAAACCATTCTGTCCTGGATTGTTTCGAAGCGTAACAATGGCCCAGCCAGTACACCTCTGCTTCGAGCCAGATTTAATAATTGCCTAAAATCCGAAATAAGGAAGGTAAATTTTCAACAACCAAGCGATTTCTCCCCGATTTCGGATAAAATAATCTGGCTCTCGACTTTCCATAAGTCATCGACATTTTGCGCTAAAATTAAGCATATGCAAAAAAGGATTGATGAATGTTTACTTTAATGGCTTCGAGCTTGGGTTCGAGATTATTCGAGATTATTTTGGAATTTTGAAATAGTTTTACTAGGCTATGTTCACACACTGTTACTATGTTCGAAATGTTATGTGAATCGGACTATGCCATGTTAATATAACTAAATTTTTTTGCCATGGATATCAGAAATATAAATTAGAATAGTCACTCTGATTTTAGTTTCGCTGGCAGGTTTGCTCCCTGGCATATTTTTCACTTCATTAAAGGGCGGTTTATTGGACACAAATTTGAAAAAGAGTTAGAAAATAAAAGAAAAAATATAAAGCTTTAAAAATTTTTTCGAAGATTTATTACAATAAGAGCGGTTTATTTCTGATCGATGAAAGTTGTGGCGTTGATTTCGGGTGGTAAGGATAGCTGTTTTAATATGATGAAATGTGTGGACAATGGGCATAAAGTGGTTTGCCTTGCAAATTTATACCCGAGTGAAGGCGATGAACTCGATAGTTATATGTACCAGACCGTTGGCCATAACGCTGTTGAGGTATGGGCCTTTCTGGCCTCTTCAAATTATATTTATGCCTTTAAATTTCACCAATTTTTTTCTTAAGTCTTTAATTTCTAGAATATAAGTAATATCGATAAATTTTTCCGCATTTTCTCGATATTTTTGAATGTTTTTCTTGAATGTTAGTTTTAGTTAACTACTAAAATTTAAAATGCTTGAAGTAAATGACAATTTCAAATCGATTATAGATTTTTTTTAAAAGAAAGAAATATTCATAAATTCTTAGTTTCGCGATTTGTGAGAAAAAACAAAAAAAACATATATTATTAAAAATTAAAATGTATATTTACAATATTTGTCGATTTTCTATTTGTTTAATTTAATATTAAGTTATATGGTGAGGCTTGCGATTTACCGTTGTTGCGGCGTCCAATAAGAGGAAAACCAATTAATACAGATTTGAATTATAAAATTGAAGGTGATGATGAAGTGGAAGATCTTTTTGAATTGTTAACTGAAGTAAAAGCACGTTATCCTGATGTTGAAGGTTTTTTTTATTTCTCATTCTTTATTCATTTCCATTTTTCCATTTTTTCCATTTCATTTCTTGAAAAGCGTTATAAGAATTTTTTAGGTGTTTCCGTTGGAGCAATTATGAGCGAATATCAAAAAATTCGTGTGGAAAATGTTTGCAGTCGTTTAAATTTGGATGTTTTGTGTTACCTGTGGAACTCGAATCAAGCTAGTTTGCTTGATGAAATGATTGCTTTAAATTTGAAGGCGATTCTTATCAAATGTGCTTGTTCTGGCTTAAGCGAAAAACATCTTGGAAAGGATATAGCTGAGGTCATAAGTCCTTAATCATATTGCTTTTAGGTAGATTATATATGGCTTATTGGTGAAAGAGTTTCAGTAGGGAGGATAGTGTTATAAAAAGGCTTTTCATTATTCGTTTATTAAAATTCGTTTATTAAAAATCTTTATTCCTGGTTGAATTTGCTTCACTCGTTATTATTAGGATGAAAAAATTCTGCCAAAATTACTTGGGTGCATTTATGGAAGCATTGGTCGGAGTACGTAAACGTAAATGAAGAGCACGGACCACGATGCTTGAAATGGTAATTTTGGCGACTATGTTTGGCCATATCGCACTTAATTTCATATGGCTTGCATTTTATTATTTAATTATGTAATGTTTTCTCATAACACTTTGCAAATAATTGGGTGCTTCAGGCGATTTCGAAGCTTGCAAAAAAAATTCCCTCATGAATGTATGCAGTCGGTTTTTCGACGTCATGTGCTGTGAAATCGCACTTTTTTTTTACAAAAAAATCTAAAATATCTTAAAATTTCCATTTTTTCAACATTATTTGCACTTTTTGCCTCGAGTTTTGCTTTATTCAACTCTTCTTTTTTTCAGGTAAGAGATTTATTACATGAATTGCACAACATGTATGGAGTAAATATATGTGGTGAAGGTGGTGAATATGAGACTTTAGTGTTGGACTGTCCTTTTTTCAAGCATAAAATCGTACTCGATGCAGCTGAATCTTTTTGTGATTCAACCTTGTGCTTTTTTTATGTGCTTCGCGAAATGCATCTGGAAAAAAAGTAGAAAACTTTCATCTATTTGGCTTGAAAAGCGATTTATTTTTTTCTCCAATTTTTAAAAAAGAAAAAAATTTTTTTGACAAGACTTCGACAAGTCATTTTTAATCAGTGTAAGCGCCAAAAATTTCTCATTTCTGTATTAAATTTCTTATTGAAGTGTTCATTAACGATGGAAATTTAATTTGTCAATATTCTTCGTTCTCCAGATTTGGAGAGGAAAGAGACTGGGTATTCAATTGCTCAGCAACTTTCTTATTTTAAGATAGAATGAATGAATATTAATCAATATTTTTCTAGTGTATTTGTTGACTCACAGTATTTTTTTCATTGTAAATCATACTTGTTCCATTTCTCTCTGTGAGATTGAATAATATTATTAGATATTTATCTTGAATAAAGGCCGTAAATTTCAGCTGGTCCCGATAATATTCCACAAATAATTTATAAAAAATGTATAGTCTCTCTGATTCTTCCCCTATTTCCAATTTATGAGGATATTATGAAATCTGGCTTTAATCCCAAAATTTGGAAATTGTCTCATATAATTCCCATTCATAAAAAAGGAAGCACTTGTGATCCTTTTAATTACAGGCCTAACATAGTAGCAATTGGAAGCAAAGTACAGGGAAGATTTCGCAAATTTGTATCAAGTTGCTTATTTTAATGCTAATAATTTAATATCCACATATCAGCATGGTTTTTGTGCAAAAAAATCTACTTCTTCACAAATATTGGCAAGTCTTTTCGATTGGTCAGTATCAATTGATAATGGAAAAACAGTATCAGTTATGTACCTAGATTTTGATGTTTCCTATTGTTGGTGGTCGCCCTTAATTAATAGTTATGGCATTATAGAAGCCCTGTATAACTGGGTATTAGATCCCATAAACGATCGTTACCAGGCTGCATGTGTCAACAATATTCTTTTTGACATGATACCTTTTAAATCAAGCGTTGCTCAAGATAGTTGTATTGCGTCATTGCTTTTTTTATTGTATTAATGATATGACCAAAGTGGTACTAAACTCTACCATTTATTTTTATGCTGATGATTATAAAATTTATTATAATCGATCCGATAACTTGTCTGCACTATAGGATGACCTCGATAGAATAGCCAACTGGCTATATAATGGGCAAATTTCCCTTTTTTTTTCAAAAGTATAACTTTTTATATATAAATTCGAAAGGATTCAATCTTTCTGATCTTTTTGTTTATGGTAATACAATAGAAGACACAAGAAGTCTCACACATTTCTGATCTTGGAATAATCATGGATGAAAACCTCGATTTCGACCTTCACTGTAGTAAAGAATCCCTCAAAAATACTAAATTTTATTTTTCGTTTGCTTAAGAACAGAACTAAAGGTTTTCTTATCAAAATGTACAAAGCGTTTGTACCGCCTCTTCTTGACTACAATATAACCTGTTATCTCGAGATATAGCAAATCAATTTAAATAATTGAAGGATTTCAAAAATATTTAATATGACGCTTCTCTCCCAACAACAATTTTAATTAAAAAAGACAAAAGAACAATGCAACCTGCGTTCTCTCCTTAATTCGTCGAATTAAACAAGATTTGATTTATATTTATATAATTCTATATGGTTATGCTAAATAATACTGTTTAAAATATTACAATTTTAGGCTAAATTTGAATCCAACAAGAACTAATGGGCTAAAATTACTAAAACTTATATCCAAAATTAAACTAAGGACTCCTCATAACTTCTTTAATTACTGGAATAAATTGCCGAACGATGTAGCTTGTGTGTGCGTACCTTAGTTATTTTTACAAAATGATTAGGTAATATCATTTTTGATATTATTTATATTATTCAAAAAGTTCACAGGAAGTTTGAAATCTTGATTTTTACCATTCGATTATGTATAAGCGATATACTCACTTCAAATTGCACTGTTTTGCAATTCATCTTTATTTCCTCTTTGTTTTATTAATTTTTGTCATATTTCCTTCGTTATTTTAACTGTTATTATTAATATAATGGCGCTTATACACACGCCCTTGCAGTAAATAAGAAGAATGAATTGTAAAATTTTCAGCTTCAATTTATATATGTTTGCATATATCAAATTTAAAATTCGACAAAGACAAATTATAAGCATAAATTATAAGCAATTATAAGCATAATAGACATGAAATTTCTTGCAAATCTGCTCATTAGATAATTTCCATAAAAATAAAAAATAAAATAAAAATAATAGAGAGAACTTTATTGAATTCAACTAAGACACTGAACGGAAAATAGCGACACATACAGACTATATAATATATTTCTATATAATATTAAATAACTAAAATTCACTAAATTTCATTAAAGTTATTTCCTAATTTTCTATAATCTAAACTGGCTTAGGTTATTAAAATAAAAATTGAATGAACTGAATGTTCTCAAGTGCACGTCGAAAAATCTAGCGAAAGTTACTGCAATGAAAGTTTCTGATCGTTTCTGTGGAATTTATTCTTAAATTGAGTTTCTCGCATAAAAATTCAAGTGACTCTGATACAAAATTTACATCGAAATCCCATTTATTATCGTTGGAATCAATTCAGATTAGTTCGAGACAAGATTAACATTACAACAATTCGCGAGAAACAACGTCTTTCAAGATCTTTCAACTATATTAGACTAAAATAGACTATATTAGACTAAAAGCATTTCAAACTGATTGAAATCTCCATTTCAGTGAAAGGGATATTAATGACATCTTCGGAATTGCTGATAAATATTGGTAGCAAATAAAAGCATTTTTCTGACAGCAGTTTGAGAGAAAAGCATTTTTCATTTCACTTTCATACTAAGATATGCTAGTAAGAAATGTGCTCGAAAGCAACTGTCCAAAAAAGATGCTAAAGCACGAATGTCAAAAAATCCTGACCATCGATGCTTGGAAGAAACGACAGCAGTACTGCGCGAGAGAAATCGTTATTGTAGCGAAGTGGTCTTGAAAATGGAGACGACTGCTCGATTAGCGACAATAGAAAACCACTCTCTTTATAGAGAAACTATAACCAGTGAAATGGATACTGATGGAAAATGGATGATGTGTCTGTTAAGATTATTAAGGATCTTGTAAGGTGGCAAAAATTCAAAGTCGAACCAAATGCGAATTGCAAGTAGAACAAGAAGTAATCTCTGTTATCCCGAGGCTTAAGGGGCTTAATAACATTTCTGGAGATGGTCTTTGGGCTGAACTCTTCAAATGTTGTCCATCGCCCTTCATATCATCATATCTTCAATAAATAAATGTGCTCTTTTATATACAAGAATACCAGATTACTGGAGCAAATTACTTTCGTTTCAATTCTGTTCCCAATTCCTAGTGATAAAACATATTGCGACAGTCACCGAGAAATCGGCCTACTAGATACCTCCGGAAAAATTTTCGCTCCCCTTCTGCTAAATTAACTCGTGGCAACACGAGATAGCAGAATGCATCATAACAAGCTGGATTCAGATCGGGACATGGTTGTGCTGACCAGATATTTACGCTAAGAGTATGAAGCATTATTTTGAACATCAGCAATTCACCGTCACTTGCTTTATCGATTTTATAACTAACTTCGATTCAAGTGATAGAGCAGCGCTTTGGAGGATGATGAGATGTAACAATGTTCCAGAAAAAAATCATTCGATAAACGCGTTTTATCCGCGTACATCAGCACAGGAATGTGTTTGTGGGGAACTGGTAGGCTCTTTCGAAATAAGAAATGGTGTTAACCTTTCAATCTCCAACTATACGATAGATTGAAAAAAGGACGTCGCTTGATGGCACTAGTGTGTGCAAGAGGTGTACAAATTAGTCCAGAACATAGTATCAAAGATCTTCAATCCGCTGATGATATAGTCCTTTTGCAGACAGTTATGGTTAATGCCGTAACAATTTAACAAATGCAGCGAGAATCAGACTCATTATCAATATAAATAAAACGAAATTTTTTCCATCTTACACACAGAAAACTGATAAAAATATAAAATATAAGAATACCTATTTTTATCAATTCATCTGCAGTTCAGCAATTGCCAGACTTCAAATATTTTGGATCCACTCAAATCCCAAATGGCCAAGCAAAAGAAATTATAACTCGGATAACGATAGCTAGAAATACGTTCTCCCGATTGAAGTCCTTCATGGGGTTGTCGTGATATCACCATCATAACGATCGGTATCTATATAGCTATAACTATAACTCGACCTCCTTATATGGTTGCGAGACATAGCCGATAAGAGTGGAAGATATTAAGTTATCTTCCTTTGATCACTCATGTTTAAAATAAAATATATTTTACGTGTTTGCACAGCGGATGAAATTTCACATGATAAATTTCATTCAAATACCACTTGCATTAACAATACCATCATAGAGTATCGCCTTCACTGGCTAGGGTACGTTCTTCGTCATCACTACAGGAGTTGACCCATATTTCGTTATTAACCCTCTAATGGATGGCGTCAAAAGCGAGGAAGTTAATCGAGATCCGGACTGTATTAGACTGTATCAGGAAAGATTTCGAATATGTTGAGGGACCAAGGACATATGGACAAGATGAAAAAATGAATGACTTTAATGACTTTACTTCTAATGATCAAACAGCTTAGAGATGTCTTACCCTTGTAGCTAACGAAGCTAGCCTAACCAGTAATGGTGTAAATGCCGCCACTCCTCCAGCTGGAATGTCAAAACATATAAAATGGACGATATAGTCAAATGTATATCAATGTCTTCCTCATTGATAAAATGAAGTATAACAAACTATAATTGCCTCATTGTCTTCCATGAAGACTTTGACAATTTAAAGATCATATTAACAATCCATTTCTGGTACCTATGAAATGCGTCAACATTCTATCAACAAAAGATTAACAAAGTTTATGGAACTCATTATCTTGCAAATGGACCACCGATGTTGCTTCAACCAAGATAAATCATCATTACAATGTACTACAACAATCCTTTGATACTTGTACTTGACGGCATTACGTATATAATTGCAAATTTATTCTGTGGTATTTCTAAATGAGTTTGCCGAATGAATACGCTCATTTGAGATTTGTAAGACTTGTGTATCTCTATGGCACAAGCAGGGAGTACCAGAACTCGTTTTGCAACAATAATTTTTAGTTGTTCAGCGAAAGGGTGAATGCTCTTCATCATATTGTAACACCAAACCAACCAACCAACCAATGCTGTAGTTCTGCCCGTATGCAGCAGTTTATTCCAATTTCATGTTTGAATCATGAAAACACACAAAAGCATACAAAAGCATATTTCTTCAGCCTTGTTATGTTCATTGTAAATAATTTCCCACATCAGATTGCCAATTTCTTCTCATTGAGGTATCGATATCGATAACTGTAACAATACATCACTTTATCAAATGTCAAATATTAATAAAAAAAGCGATTCTATCTGAGAGAGTTTCATTTCCGTATCACATATTTTATAAACGTTTGACATATGATTTTCTTTAAATTATCCATTTATTACAATTCTCGCTAAAGAAATGAACAAAATCCATGCAAACCAACTTGTATTTCTATCGCACTAGTGATTCCCTCAAAATTTGTCTGATCCAACAAGACTTATCAACCAAACCAAAAATGGGCGCCGCTCTCAGAAAAAAATATATGAATAAGAAAATCAAAGCATAAAAAAATGAATATATACCAAAATATTAAAAAATTTTTATAAATAAAGAATTATCATATGGTTTTAATTTATTGAAACATAATTTACTGCGAAATTTCATTCACTTATATAAGAAAAGACCAGTGAACCGCAACAAATCACGAAAGACAAAGATAATTAATTTGGTAATAATTTAAAATAAATATAGAATAAGTTGAAAACAGTTAAAATGAAAATATAAATAGCGAACCGATCCTATTAAAATTAAATTTTTTGAAATTTAATAATTGAAATTTTTATGCTCTAAGAGGAAAATCAAATTCAGCGAAAGAAAAAGCAAACAGCAGAGCAAGCCATGAAAAAAAAAAAACTCAAAACTCAAAACTCAAGAAAGCATCATATATTACATATATTATATTAAAACTAGTGATATGAAAAATGAAGGCCAGAGTAATCCCTGTGGTAATAGAAGCATTAAGGGCTGCGACTTTAATCGAAGAAATAGTTTCAAGAACATCAGATTTTTGTCCAGAACCAGGAGCAGCTGCCAGGAGCAGCTAAAGTACTTTGCAGAACCCTCAAGCTCCTAGGCCTTCGGTAAAGGCCCGAGATTGAGGGTGACCCATACTACTTTCAGGTGAATTTGATTTTCCTCTTAGAGCATAAATACAAACATTAACATACATAAATTGAATCGATAAATCACAAGTTTAAATACCAATTTGAGCAAGTTGATCAACGTAGTCTTTATGAAAAAAATCCCGTTTATCATGACTTTTTAACATTAAGAAGTTAGCAACATATTCAATCCCAAAACATGGAATTTTCAAGCGAACCAAATGTTTAACTTCCTGAAATCGAATAAAAAAGTTGCAGTGAAACTGAGAACCTCATCTGATGCAGATATTTTAATAGTGAATTTAACAGGAAGAAATTTCGAACTCCTCTTCAGAAAACTTCTTTCAAATCAAGATGAAATATGAACTATTATAGACGAAAGATGAACTGTAAATTTTAAGCTTTCAACAAAATAAAATATTTAAAAAAATAAAAAAGTGAAAAATTTTACTTTTTTATTCCAATATTTAGATCTTTCCACAAGAGCATGAGTAAAGTCATCTGCATTAAGAACTGAACCAATCTCATCCCTATAAAAAAAAATTAACAAATTAATAATGAATAATTTACCGAAATTTGAACCTGTGAATCGCTATTCCACCTCCATTGATTATAATTCGTTGAATTTCAACAAAACGTCGTCTGCTACAATATAGAACAGCCCTCCAGTTACTGAAAGCTCTTCGATGGGGCGAAATCTAAAAATTTTAAACATATATCACATCAAAAATCAACCATTTAAAAAATTATTTCAATTGATTATTGATAAAATAAACAATTTTATAACTTCTTGAAGTTCTATTCTCCACTGCCTCGAGCTGCGAGCAAGACATTCCAGACGCTCCAAAGTAAATTGGTATTTTTTCATGAAAATAGGATTTCCCCATTCATAATCTTCTGGCTAAAAATTCCTGCTTTATTTTGTTAAAAAATGAGATTAAAAATGAGATTAAGTCTTCCATGCCATACAGAAATAACCTACATCCAACCACTTTTTCGCTTTGTAAGAATCCATAATGTATTCCAATCTCAAAACGTATAAACCACATGATATACATGATAAAATCTTCTCATTCCGAACGATCTGCTCACAAACTAAGTGAGTAATAGAACCATTGAAATCAAATGAAGGATTTCCACCAAGTTCAATGACCATCGAACATAATTTCGACCGGTCCTATTTAAAAATTCTAATAAAATTGGAAATATAAAGTGGTTCAGAATAAACTTTCAAAGTTATAAATTTCTGAATAAAAAATAAACTAATGAATTCAAACGAAAGCATAATATATAAATGAGGGAAAAAAGAAAAAATAATTGTGAACGAACATGATTCCCAACAGAAGAAAACAAGATATTTTTCAAAGAAAATTTAGAAGTCGGTTCAGAACTACTGTCAACTTTGAGTTTAACCATTGTTGCTGGTTTATTGGAGTGGCCGTTCGCTTCCGTACTAGCTCCGATTATATTTTCTTTAGTTTCTGTATTGTTTAAGATGATTTTCTCCGCAATTTTCAAATTTTTTGAATCGTCCGCGAACTGATAATTCTTAACTTCTTTTTATTCTTTTGGAATAATTTTTTAATAAAAAAAAAATTAAAAATGTTGTTAAAAATCTTTTAAGTATCTTTTAAGTTGAAAAAATCAAATAATTAAATTCTTTATAAAATTAATGGAAAAAATGGTCATGAAACAATAAAATACAGCTAACCAACGATGAATTTTTTTCACAGCTTAATCGATCTTTGCTAGAAGCAACGAGCGATTCAGGTTTTCTGATCTAAATTGTGCAGAAATTTGAAATATTAAGCCTTCCAATCAAAAAAGAATACCCTTTTTTAAATTTCTACAAAATTTCTTAAATTTTTCAAAAGTTACTAAACCTTTTCTTTCCTTACAAACCCAAATTACTTTTAAAAAGGCAGAAACTTGAAGATTATCAACATACCATTTTGATCGATAAAAACTCATCAAATTTTCTCGATTCAGCTCTGAAAAAAATTTTTCTAAAATAAAAAATTTTTCAAATAAATAAATTAATAAACAAACGAAAAAATGTTAAAGATTTTGCAATTTTTCTTGGTTCATAAAAACATAACAGCAATTATCGTAATCAATAAAAATATGGCCGAATCTTTAATAATTTTAAAAAGAAACAAATAGAAAATTCTTAGATAATTAACTATGTGAATTTTAGAATAGAACTGAATAGAAATACCTTAAAAATTACATGAATAGAAAACATTTAAAAAAGCATATAAAATTTATTTAATTCTCACTCGTTCGGAACGACAAATTCTTCCCAACCGATTTTACAGGTTTGAAGACTTCCATTATCGTCATCATCATCATCAAAATTTGATAGCATTCGTTTCGAATTAAATTCACTTTCATCTAGCCTATTTTGCAATAACTTTCTTTTGCTGCGCCTACGCTCCTCCACAGATTTTATCTAAAGAAATTTCCGAATTGTAAATGAGATTTTACTGTTAATAATTCAGCAAAAAAATGAAGTAATAAGAGAGAAAAGATTTAAAAAAACAATAAAAAGTACGAGAAAACAACCTGATCAGATCTGGTAAAATGTTGTTTATTTATACAGTTTGCCAACTCAGCAACCCTTTTCATCACAAAATTCCTGAAAATTCCATTTATGAAAACTTAAATATTAGAACTTAAATATTAGAAAGCAATATATCATAGGATTCGGATTATTAATTATTGCTATGTAAAGTTAAAGTGAGAAAATATAGAAATTTTAAAGATCAAAGTTTGATTGATGATGTCAATCGAATTTTCTAAGAAATAGCAAAAGAACATGGAATGGAATGAAATAAAAAATGTAAATAAATGCAAATTCTCATTATATATTTCTTACGTCTAAAATATCCAGTATATGATAGACCGAGTGCTTATTGCATGCTGATAGTCCAAATGATTCGGGCGTTGAGCAAGGCATTTAAGTTATAATTTTTTATAATTTTTATTTTTTTATTCTTATACTTTTTTTGTTTATAAAATAAAACGGCTATTCCGATATGTTATTCTTTAATAAATGACTTAATAATTTGAAATTAAGGATATAGTCAGACGTTTGTGCGTTAGTGGCATAGCGCCAAGATGATTGCCACTGAGAATCGAAGATATCTCGATTTGAATTCGGTCAAAGCAATTCGAGTGAATATAAATATATTTCGTGACGATTATTGGCTCTAATTATTATTGGTTTTCATTTAGTGAATATTCTCTGGTCTATAGCCATTCGGAAATCAGTAGAGATCCAAATGGTAATAATAAATTGAATCAATGAAGAAACAATCAACAATTATAAACAATCAAATTCTCGATTCACAAGTTGGACTCATTAATAAGATAAAAGAAAATAGAAACTATATCTATACTTTCGCGATTTCTCGATAGGAGCTAATTCAGTTACATTTTTTGCTCGGACCTTTTCTTCAATATGCATCATAATTTTGTTGCTGCTGCTATATCTTCTATCCTTGTTATTAGCAAAATGAGATTCTCTGCATGACTGTATCGCACCACCTTGCGTTACCTGGTGATTATGAATAAATATAGTTAGTATTTCCTATAATGAAAATTTGGATTTTTTTTACAGATAATTAGTAGAATTCCCGGAGTTTTTTCGAACAATAAAAGATGGAACCTCATCAGTATTAGATTTTTTTTTCGAAATAGGTTCGCTTCGAGCAGTTTTAAGAACAGCTTGAAACAAAGTTTGCTCCACCAACGAATCAGTCTGAAATAATCGATCTAAATAGTTAAAAACAAGTTTGAAATTCGTCATGTTGCTTTCTGACTGATTAAAAAAATCTACCATAGTTATCAAAAGAAATAGAAACTAGTACCCAGACTTGATCCAATGCTGAAAACCTCGACTGAGTCAACGTGTCCATAGCGTTAACATAGTCGAAAGCTTCACCTAAATCGAAATTCGGGCGGAAATTTTGCTCATCTTGGTGAAAGCCATCGTCCAAAGCACCAGTATTTTGCGATTCAGAACGGTAAGCGGTGGATTCAATAATTGACTAAAAAGCAATTCATTACAAAAATGAAAAGCCAAATAATCCATAATGAATAATGAAAGCCTTTGATGTCTTATTATGAAGGAATATGGATAATTTCGACACCATTTATTGTATTTTTTCGTAAATACGCGTTAAAAAATTGTTAATACTCGTCCAGCATTTGCTTTAAATGTCTTGAATTTATCGAACAGGTACGACCAAGAAAAACTCCTAACTAGCTAAACTTAATAGTTTTGAGTAAAACCGAAAAAAAACTTGCAAAAGGATGTTGTTCTTTCATTTCAGTTATGAACGGACTGACGTTATTAACTGGCTGTGAAACGTAATTTCGAGAATTATTAAAAACTGTATGATCTATTATTTTACATATATTGCAGTCATGTTGAAAAATGAATCCAGCTGTATTGACATCGTTCACTGATAGCGAGTTATCGATATTCTTATTGCAATTTAAGTTCATTTTAGAGTTGGACTTATATAACTTCATTTCGCTTATCTCACGTACATTTTTGCACTGATCACCTAATTCATCTGCCTCTCTTGTCTCTCGAGAAATTTTAGCGAATTTTAATTGAGAAGAGTTATCGTTCCGTTCTGTGCAAACTCCATGGTAAAGAAGATTCTTATTTTTATCACAGATTCTTTCGTCTAAAGATGAATTGCATCGACCAGCATTACGCCAAAGTTCATCTGTCCTTTCATAATTATGAAAAGGAAAATGACTGAATGCAAATTTTTCTGTTGATATAACTTCATTCTGAAACAATAAAATTGATATGAAATATAATTTTGCGCAGTGTTTTGCAATATTTATGAATAACGGAGTGGTTGTTGATTAAATTACCATTTCCAGCAACATGACTCGGCTCTCCGCAGGAATAATTTTTAATAATTTTGTGCAATTAATTTTTCAAGAAACCACCAACTTATCTACTCTAAAATTGTTAGCAAAATTATCTCATCCTACTAATAACCAGCAGAGAGAGCCTAACCATATATGGTGCATGTTGGCCATTTAATTAAGAAAAAGAAACAAAGGAAATTTTTGACAAGGAGTCACTTAATGATAGGTGATAGCCAGTATAATCGGATTTTTTAAATGATATTCATTATAAAAAAGTTAGGCAAAAGAATTAAAAAAGTGAATTGTAAATAGAATCTTCAATAATAAAATGATGACTATGAGCGAAAATAAAAAAAACATCAATGAGAAACTGAACCTTTAATACTGATTCAATAATCCAAGCAGGATCGACAACAGGAATGTTCCATCGCCTAGCAATAACGGTTCGCTCACTTTCTCTGCCAGCAATTACTTGAGTATTTCGCAAACAATTGCTTGAACTGGAACAAGCCAAACGATTTTGAATCCTTAAAATGGATATAGCAATAAGGAATTCGATTTTGAATGAAAAGTCTCGCTAAAAATCGGATAAAATTGTTTATACTTCGCGCCAAAAGTAGTAAGTATTTCGATGAGAGCTTCTTTTTCAAGATGGTGAATAGTACTTAATGCTATAACACAATGTTCAAAAACAGTTGAGCCTCTAACAGCATATAATGGACGGTAAAGCGGATGATTATCTGGACGAAGTAGTGAACGTTGCTCAATACAAGCTTGCTGAAAATATTATAATATATTATTAAATATTATATATGCTGAAAATATTACAAAATATTGTATATTATTATACAATTATAAAATTAACTTACCTCAGTTAACACACATTAAAAAAACATTTATTTCAAAATTTCACTTTTCGAATGAAAAATGGTTTTGAAAATATTATCAAAAAATAAAATAACGAATCAGAAAATTTGAACAAAAACAAACCACCCAGAATATAGAAACAGTGCTATCATAATTAAGAATATGCGTCGATAATACTGGACTATATTCCAACAAAGAACAAACTAAATAGTTCACTGTTTTTGAAGGATCTTTTTCACAAATGCCTGAAAAGAATATTAAAAAAATTTATTTGGAAAAAATAGCTTCATATAATTTAAAAAGAAAAAAAATATCAAGCAATGAAATTTTCTTTTATGGCAAATTGCTACAGTAAAAAATGTTACAATTCACTCTTCAAATACTTAAATACGAAAAAAATAATAAATAAGAAGCAAGAACAAATTACCTCCATGATGCTCGATAGCTTCATGAATCGCATTGCCAAGAATTGTATCCATTTTGAACAAACGAAATGAGGATCCGTAAAATATATCAGCACCATTTTGATATCCTGAAGGTCTTAGCATTCTCAGCAAAGGTTTTGAAGATAGAGCATCCAAACTATCATTTATGTTAATTTCTCTGATCTCTTTATTATCGAATTTCGTCTAAAAATAACGTTTTCCATAATCCAGCAAAGTGGACTGTTTAAAGATGATACCCTTAAATTTGTAAAAGTAGAATTTTCAGATAAACAACGGTCAATAAATAAAGAGAAGTTTAAATAAAAGATCTATAAAAGAAGAAAGAATCAATAAAAGAAGAGAAAATCCTCTGCAATGTGTTTAATAATAGTGCTTTATGAAAACCTAAATATTCATATAAAAAATGCTCAAAAATAACCAGATATCAATCATATTGAGAAAGAATTAACATTTCTAAAACATAAATATACATTCTTAGACTAACATTTAAAGTGTAAGCAAAATCAATTGTACTTGCGATTCGTCCCAATCGAATACTTTCAGCCAACCAATCTGCTTTTACCATAGGAATTTTCTTTTCGAAAGAAGATATCTAAAATTTGAATTTTATAAATATAAAATAGAAATAATAAACATATTCTCAAAAAAATAGCCTACTTTATTAACCAATTCATTTCCCAGAGGCAATGGCCCAACAATTATATGTGTGATGCGCTCATCCAAGTTTGAAAATAGACAAGCACCAGCAATATGAATAACTTTTTTCCATTTCTCTTTATTATTATCGTTCACACCGCAGATAAAAAATTTAAATCCCTGAAAAAAATGATTTAGCAATTTTCATAAAGATAAAAATTAAGGTGGTTCACAAAAATAATCTAGTAATAATAATAAGTTTAAACAAATATGGACTATAAAATATTAACACAACAGAGCCCTCGTATTGAAAGCTTACTTCCATAAAGTCCTCGACAATTATTTCATCGATATTAAATGCAGCTACTGGATCAAACTGTTCAAGTGGCTTTTCCACAATATTTTTCGAATTTACATCTTTTTTAACTCTATAAATTGACCATTAAACAAATAAAAAATATCACAATTAAAATTTCGTTAAAAATTCACAAATTTTAAAAAAAAAAATTAACGAGGTTAAATCGACCAATTCGTTACATTCTCTGTTATCAATAAATTTTGAATCAAAATCAAAGGATGTGTTATCAAAAGACATTTCGGAGCCTGAAAGCACCAAAGTATTACCAGTATCGAAATAAGTCATTTAAAAAACAGAAAAAATAGACCAAAGGAAAACTAATTAAAAAGAATTAAAATAAAAATGACTTGTATCCAAATCCTTCGAAAGGAATGCGTCCCAGTTACAGAAATACTCATCAGTTGCCACAATATCACTTGGTGTGCTATCATTTACTTCATATTTTTCTTCTCGAAGTCGATTTTTCTGCAAATACTTCATAATACTATTCAAGATTTGCTTTTTATTGTAAGAATTATTAGTTTAGTCGCTTCCGTTAGCTGTAAATCATATAACTATATAATTACTATATATAATTAAAATATCAATTTGTGAGAACTTCAAATATTGATTTGCCACTGGTATTCAACAAGATGTTGGAAACTGAAAGTTTTCTGTAAAACTAAACTAATAAAAACAGATGACAAAAGATAAAAGAACACCCTTCGAAGACAATGTCCCAACCATCGTTTATGCACTATTTTAATCACTTCCCATCCCCACTTTCGCGCCACATTATATTTTTCTCCAGATGCTTTACATATTAAAAGATGTGTGCTAGAACTCCTCTCCATATCTCCAGCATAAATACCGCCATGCCTTTCGATTATTCTAGCAATTTTCTTCCTCTCTTCTCCGTCGATTCCAGAGCAAGTCATTTTCTTAAATGGAACTAATTTCAGGAAATTTTTCTATTTAAAAAAAATAGTTTATTTTCAATAAAATCACATTTTAAAACTTTCATAAATTAGCACAGATTAATCAAGATAAATAGGTATAAATGAGCAAAACTAGACTTAAATAAAAAACAACTTACACATCCAGCAAACAATCTTAGCCTGTATTTTTTAATAATTTTTGCATCTAAAAAAGAAATGTTATTCCTTGAACACGCAGTTTTCCAAGCATCTTCGATCCATTTCGCCGTCATCAAAGGAATTTTGTTGTGTGCAGCAACCTTGAAAATAAATTGAAAACCAAATTCCCAATAGTTATTGGCTTTCAATATATTCACCTTACTTCACAAAAATAAAATTCAAAAAAAAAACATTCGTATTCAAGGACTATTTATTCACAGAATACAAGTCAATTATCTCCAAAATTTATTGAAATTAATCAAAGCCGCATACTTATTAGCGTATTTAACAAGTTTTATATAGATATGAAAGTCTAATCTAATATCCTTTGAACCTTTCCATATTCATTTACATCTTAACTTCGTCTTTAATATTTCTTTAATATTTAATTCCGTTACTACGTTTGATTTCTGTCAGATAAGCTTTTAGCAATCAAGTTGAAGTGTCCCAAATAATGTAATTCATATCTTATCCGGACATTCGAAAAAAATTCGATCAATAATTTTTAAGTCCTAAAAACAAATCAACCTTACAAGTAATCAGCGAAAAACTTTTAAATCAAATCACTTCTTACTTTTTTTTCATCTTTTTTTTCTAAAGACGCTCACCATTTCTGGTCAACCTCGATCCATTATTTATCTAATAAATAATTAGTGGAAGGAAGAAGAAAAAAGATACAGAATATTTTTTTGAATTCGTGGCATGAGAATGAGCAACAAGGTGAGTAACCTTCCGCGTAAAATTTCTGGAAACTGATCCACCCATATATTTCACTAACGCCATTTGTTTAACCTAAATTTACTAAGTGTTTTAATACTGAACAATAAAGAATAAAAAGGATAAAAACATAAAGTTTATGAGAAATAGATAGAATTTAATTGCGACCTAATTGAAAACCTAAATAAAAATTTACGCATAACTAAAAATTCTATAAATATCGTTAAATACCCGAACAGCATGACTTATATCAGTAAAGCAAATCATTGCTCCTTTGAGAGTAAACGATAATATTGGGTGAACTGATTTGGGTAACCGTTCCATTTTTTTTAAGCATGTCCTAGCAACTATAGCACCATATATCCTGGAAAACTAATGACTAAATCACAGATCAAAATTTTTAACTAACGAGAGCAAATGATTAATCTTTTTTCGCTGAAAAATGACATTTAACCAAAGCAATTTTTATAAAATTACTAAAATTATTCAAACTAAATTGTTCAAACTCTTATAATAATAATGAAAAATCACACAGAAACCTTGATTTAATACTCAGAAGATGTTCGAAAACACGTCCATGAAATGAGGGCAGAATGAAAATTTCATTAAGTCGTTTTGTTTTTGTCATACATTCTTCAGTTGTAATCCACTTTGGATCGAGCATTTTCGAATTTAATTCCTTAAAATTTTCAATATTTACGAACAATATTCATAATATACCATTGAACATATTTTAAAGAAAAAAACAAAAAATATGAATAAAAATAGATAAAAATAAATAAAATAAATAATTTAAAAAAGCAATGTAGAAACCTGCAAAATTCGTTTAAAATAAGTTGTTAGAAGATAAAAAAAATAAAAATAAAAAAAGAAAAATAAACTTCAAGAAGTCAGAGAAAATATCGAAAACAGCTTTTCAAAGTCATAGAACATAAAAAGCTAAATAATAACAAACAGGCAAACAGTTTTCGTTACCTAAATTATAAAATTAAATCCAATTTACAATAGATGAAATGCGAATTATTTCAGCCACAAAAAAATCATTTTGCAAATAGTGAGCTCAAGCAAACGCATAAACTGGCGAGATTTTAGTGAAACAGATTTTTCAAAAAAAGAACATCCGGACCAAACCGAATTTGCTCAATGTTGCCGAGTTTTTTCGGTACAGTAAAAAAATTTACAAAATACTGAGAGCTGAATTAACTCGAAATTTAAGTTTTTTAAATTAGAAGAGTTAGAGAAAAAAAATACAAACATGAAATGTTGTCTGCAAATGAGCAATATCATCAGCTGTTGGAGTTCCATCGAAATTCATATTTTCAACAGCTTTTAATACCCAAATAATACATTCTTCAGGACTTTTCTTTTGTTTTTCCATGCATTTTTGTGCAATTTCCGATGTCGATGGCTCATTTCGATTTGATAAAATTTCACTGCTTTTAAACTGATTTAATGCAAACATAGAGAAAAGGAAAATCCTATAAAATATAAAATTTACTTGCAATTAAAATCTTAAATTTTTACTATATTTACGTGAAAAGACGGGAAAAATTATACAATGCGAGATATTTCTGCGGAACACCAAAAACTAAAAGCTGATTACGTAAATTACGGAAGTTTTTCATGTTAGTTGCATTAAATACAAAAATTTTAGGGTTAGTCATGTAAAACCATGCAAAACAATACTTACGAAACGGGGAGTGAAAAATCACCCATTTGGAACTTAAAACTAGGAATTGCTGTTGTTTCCGTTATTTTTTGGGTGGATGTTTGCACTTTTGTACTTTTTCTTATTCTTTTCTTCAAGGATGGAGATCACTGTTATCACTGTTAGAGATACATTGATTCTTAGCACCCCCTAATTTCATTGTTTGCTCTTTAACAATACAAATCATACGTCATGGCTTGAAGAACCAATATACCCGTGGAGCGCCGAAGCTCTGTTCGCGGAGAGAGGGAGCGAACCTACCTTAAAATCGCTGGAGGCTCACTTCTCCTATCGAAGCAAGTGACGGCGCAACGAGTCCAATTAGAAGTGATAAGCACTCGTCGAAAGAAAAATACGTGCTTTTAAATAATTTACGCGAAACATGAAAGCACAACCGTGAACTGCGTGAAACACGAAACCGCAAAAAATATTCGCGTTATTCTCACTGACTGCAAGAGACGTGAAAACAAACTAATCGAAAAACAAACGAAAATAAGTTTGGAAGCAGAATAAAAGCGAGAAATTAACACCATATTTTAAAGTCTCTTTTCTGTCCTTTCGAATATTCGAACGACCCGCTAAAGCCAATTACTAAATAGCGGCTTACGACCCGCTAAAGCCAATTACTAAATGGCGGCTTTTCTACGCATTTAGAGGATTTTTTTAAAAGATAATAAGGAAATCAGATGGTGGGAGGGGGTTTTCGACAAAAATTTCATTTTTACAATTAATTGTTACAGAATTAAATAAATTTGATTAGTTTAGCAACGTAATATTTTTGTTTTTCCTGGCATCGTTAACATTAAAATGAAACGTTTTTGCGAGGGAGTCACTTGCGAATTTTTGCGAACTGCAAAAGGCTTCCCAGCATTATATTTCAGCTTTAGCAGATAGGAAAAGCTTGCTGCGGCAGTTCAATGTTGACTGAAGAAGCAACTTATGGCTGCTGATTATTCATTCAAATTTATTCGAGCAGATTTGCCAGGAACATAAATCTGGGTCCGCGGAACTTATGTTGGAGTTAATGGATCAATTCGCGAGAATTCGCATAAAGCTTGCAAGTCGTAAGAAACAAGACCTTTCAGCTATCTCGAACTGAAAGAATCGGAGACAGTAAGATCATTAAATCGAATTATGGAAGCATCTCAATGATATAAATATTAACGACATGTCTGGAATAGCAAAGAAACTGGTTCCAATTAAAGGTATGTATCCGACTAGTCACTTCCATATAGAGATGTACTAGTAGAAAACTATCAAAGCTATCAAAATCCGATCAGGAACTATCGGATGATGCTTTGAAGAAACAGCGACGAGAGAGAAATTCTTATTGGAGCAATATGGTCTTGAAAACGGAGGCAGCTGCTGCATTAGGCGACAATAGAAAGAAAACTATTCGCAAAGCAACTATAACCACGGAGAAGCAATCAATGAAATGATATGGGATAATAACGGTGTGCCTCTTAAGACTATTAAGGATCTCTCATAAAAGGAATTTTTTGAAGCCAAATTTAACCATGAATTGCTATTTGTTGTCCAGGATATAGCTGAATCGCTCATCGAACTATGTGCTTGCAACTGCCAATAAAATTTCCGGAGAAGATGGTCTTCAGGCCGAAATCTTCAAATATTCATCGTCCTTCATATTACGCTTTCACAAAACGTCTCTGGCATGGAGAAAAGAAATAAATAATACCAGATGACTGGAGCAAAGCAATTCTGCTCCCCATTTCCAAGAAAGATGACAGAGTATACTGTGATAATTATCGAAGAATCAACCTATTAAACTTCTCCGGAAAGATTTTCGCTTCTCTCTTGCTAAATAGACTTACGGCAGTGCGAAATAGGATCCTAACCAAGTTGGATTCAGACCATGCAGTAGTGCTGATCAGATATTCTCGCTTTTTATGCAGATAAGAAGAATGCTGAAGCATCATTTTAAATATCAGCAATTCACCGTCATTTGCTTTACCGATTTTGTAGCTGCCGATTCGATTAATAGAGCAGCACTTTGGAGAGTGACTGAATGATTGTTCTAGAGAAGATCATTCTATTTATAAAGGCGTTTCTTAGCATATATTGGCACCTGGTATATGGGGAGCCGACAGACCCTTTCGAAATAAAAACTGGTATCCGTGAAGGGTGCGTCATATCCACACAATATTCAACTATGCGATAGGTTGTTAATGGATATCACTTGTCGATACTCAAGAGGTATGCAAATCAGTCCAGTGCATTATATCACAGATCTTGAATACATTGATGATATAGTCCTTTATGTTGATAATTATAATGAAATGCAAAAGCTAAGGAACGTGTCAACAATTGCAGTGAAAATTGGGCTCAGGATCATTGTAAGTAAAATGAAAGTATTCTCGTCTTATATACAAAATATTATAAAATACTTATTTTTATCAGTTCATCACCGGTTAAAAAATTGCACCTTAAATATCTTGGATCCACTCTAATGGTCAAGCGCAAGTCGAAATTTCAATCCTGATAATAGTAGCTAAAAATGGGTTCTTCCAGTTGGTGAAATTTTCATAGAATCGTCGCGAAATTACAAAAACGAAAGTCCAGCCCTATAAAGCTGCAATTTGCTCGATCTTATATGGTTGTGAAATATAGCCAATGAATGTGAAGAGTATTAAGAAGTTAAGAGTATTATACTTTTGAGCTCACGGCTCGCTGAGCTGATAAAATCTCATATGATTGCCTTCATTACTCCACCTTTCCTCAAGTACTACGTGCATTAACAATACCATCACAAAGCGTTTTCACTGGGTTAGGACATATTCTTCATTGCCATCACAGGAATTGATCCTTGTTTTACTAAATCCTGTGATGGATGGTATCAAAAGCGAGAAGAGCAATCAACAGCTGGAGTGGCAAGAAAGATTTTGAACGCGTAGATTAACCAGTAGTATATGGACTTAGGATTTAGACAATGGAAAAGGAAGTGGCTTCTATTAATGTCAGTAATGGCACCGGATCGAAAATATCTTATCTTGCCTAACCAGTAATGGTGAGACTATTAGAAAAAGAAAAAGAATGACTGGCATGTTGCTTCCTCTGTAATCATGTAGTATGGCTTCGATCTCTGTACACAGACTGAATAAAATTATCATTAAAATAAGATTCGGAATGCTGTTGGGGATCCAAGTGTGTTTTCCCAAATGGCTCTCTAGCAAATGAGTTTCATTGAAGCGGGACCAGAAGTTGTTTATAGAAGAACTGCATTTATAAAACTTGCGAATAACCAGAAAAGAATGTTGAACGATCAAATCGTCTCGAGCATCAAATTGTAGGTCATTAAAAAATGAAATTTATTTCAATACTTACTGATTATTCATCGAATAGTAAAGCTTTTTAGAAGCAAAGCACACGTTTGGAATTTAAAAAAGTTTTAATCATTTTTTGCATTCATTGAAAAAAATTTTTTAAATTACAAAAAATAAAATAAAATGCAAAATATTCAATAAATTTACGAAAATTTTCGTTTCATTGAGAATGGAAACCATAAAAATTCACCGAAGAACAAATAAAACAGTCTAATCGAATTATCTCTTTAAACAAAGAGAAAAAAAGGTAGTCAAATCGTTGAATTCATCACTGCTGTATCGTTAGCGATTGCTTTAAGCGTATTTAGTAGCAAAGTTAGTGACGATGATAACATTAATGCGAAGTCGATTCGTTGTTCATGAGGTAGCTAAAAAGAAATGAAATGAACTAATCTGCTCATGGCATCCATCGTTCATGACGAGTGGAACGACGACCAAGCAACTGCCATTATTTGTTAAAGTTGTTAAAAAATGAAATATATTTAGACATACAACGATAGATCATTTTTTTATTTTCGACTTAGCTTAGCTAAATTTTACAGTTTACGAAAAAATATAACCTTCTCAAATGATATCGGTGGATTTTGGCCATACACGTTCGTCATTAATTCGCTGAATTCACCAGCTAAAATTCAAATTTTTTTATTTCGTGTAAAATTTTGCAAAGTTCGGTTTGCGTAAATAATAATTTATAATTCTTGCAATAATGCAATAATTCTTAAATTTAGCTGAATTATTTTATTTTTTACTCAATGTTTCTGCTTAGATTCAGTGTTATGACCAGAGAATCAGTTAATATTAGATTAATAATAATCACTACACTATCTATTTTTTTTTAAAGTGCTTTGACTCGTTCCACTGGCTTTTCGTGCGGGACAAACATGCCGGGATGGAAATACAGGTGAATAGCCGTTTACCCGGATTTTTGAAGGACTCTTAAATGGAGTAAAATTTCAGCATCGGCGTTCCGAATTAATAACCTCCTGAGCCTTCTACTCTCCTTTGCTTTTATTTAGGCGACAGTACCGCCCGACGAAGACTGGTGCGTCGGTAGATTCGAACCCAAACCTTGATTTTCGATGGCAATTATCTATTGCATCACTGGCGCACCTGGTAGATATATAAATAAAATTTAAATGAGTTGTTAAATTTTTTGTTTTTCTTGCGACTGAGTAGATTATTGTAAGCAAAATTTCCGGTTCTGTAGCGTTTGCCAAAGGGGTCAATTATTTGGCGATAAAAGTTCACAACTCGGATTTCTTGTAATTCCTATCGAAGAGGATTCGAGTCTTCGCCACACGATAGGTCGCTATCTACTCTATCATTCTGTTCTCCATCCTAACTTTAAATATGGCTTTAAAATTAATTTGCTTTAATGTCCCTCAAGTTATTTACGTATTGATTCAGTTGATGTGCTTGTGGTAGTTTCTGAATCTGAAATTTTGATGATGGTTGTCTCATTATTTTTTGAATCTGCTATTTCGATATTAGTTGTCATATGGATTTCTGAATCTGAAATTTTGTCGATAGCTGTCGCATTTTCTGAATCTGGAATTTCGATAATATCTGCTTCATCGATAGTTTCCATCTCTTCTACCATTTCAATAATTGTTGGATCTATAATAGTACTTTATAAATTGATTTAAACAAATTTTAAAAATAAATTAACAGTCAAAAAAATTATAAATATTCAATCGATATTTCTTCTACAGTGATTCGATCGAAGCTACAAATTTTGATGCCGCTATTCATGTAATTTAAAGCTGTAAAGCAGAGATGGGAAATCTTTTCCAGATTGAATTTTGAGATTCTAAGAGGGGATTGGATAAAGGTCTGTGAGAAAGGTGCAGACGTCCATGGCCATGCAAGCAATTTTTGTAATCGACAGACATGTTTGCATGGAGAGAATTTTGCTTTAACATGTAATAAACTCCAAAAAAATTAGTGAAGATTGTCCTAAAGCATTAAGAATTGCTATTATATCTGTTATATAATAAATAAATAAAGTCAAAAATTACTTGATGACGATTCGATATTTTTGAAAGCATCTGCAAAATCTGTTCCAACATTTGGTGTTTCAAAAATTGCTGTTTCATTGATGATTTCTATTTCTTCTTCAACATCTAATTTAAGTGAATCTGCAAAAATTATTCAATAATATTCAATAATTATTCAATAATAATTTTGAAATTATAAAAGGAGAATATAATAATAATTTTGTGTGAACTTTTATTTATTTTATTTGGTCGCAAGAAAAGCGGCTTTTTGAATAACATTTGGTTCGATCATATTGAATTGTAAAATATAATTTATAGATCCTCAAACATAATATTATAAAGTTTGAATTAGTTAAATTACCTATACCGTTTGAAAAATTTTCGGCATTGATTGAGATAGATGACGGTGGCAATAGAATCATTGGTGACAATTCACCACGTTGAATTTTGTTATTTACCACACGCTCCACAGCTGTTCGTGCCGATGCAACGGCACCGTTCATTAAACCAATTGATTTTGAAGAGAATTCAGCACCAGCGAAATGAACACGATTACCATGCGAGTCCGCAAGTAACGAAAATAATGATGGAGGTATTTGTTTTGGTCCAAATACTCCGACAAATCCGCGAGAGAATTTATCAGCGAACCATTGCTTGTCGCTGAAAACAGGAAAATTAACGAAAATGCCAACGAAATCAAGGCAATATTACCTAAATCATTATTTATATCAAAAAGTATTGCAACAATATAAATTTGAATTTCTTGAATTTGAAACCTTGAAAAATATGACTAAGCTGAAAAATTATATTTGCTGTTAGATTAAACCGAAAAAGACTATTTTTTTGTAAAAGACTATTCGAAAAAATTTTTTCAAAAAGGAATTCTCGAAGAAAACTAGTCGCATCTAAATTCACCCTAAATTCTGGATATTCTTATAGGCAGCTTATATAACTGAATATCTGATTATTTAAAAGACCGATACCAAGCCGTATCAATAATAATTCTTTCAGATTTGGCTTCAGTTAAATCAGATGTTCTTCAAGGTAGTTGTATAGCATCTATACCTTTTATTATGATTTTATTAATGATTTCACCACAATGAGCTAAAGTCCACCATTTTTCTTTATGCTGATCCTTGTGCTAATGATTATAAAATTTGTTATTCTTATGGAAGATCAGATATCCCCACTACAATTTAAACTTAACTGAATTGAGAAAAAAGAATTACCGAATATCAAGATAATTTTTCGCATTACTACCCAATGTTTTGGCCAAGGCATCAATGTAAAATAAATGCCGTTCGTTGTGTTTGTATTTCGGCTTTTCGACAAAATGCACCATTCCATACAATACTCCTGTTACAGGTACATCTGTGACTAAATTAATTTGAATTAATGCACCTATACTTTTGTCCTTTCCATATTTTATTCAAAGTCAAATTTATACAATAAAAAATATTTAGCTCTAACTGATTAAATTTGACAGTAAAGAAATTAAATTTACAACAGAAAAATTTACAACAAGTATCATCATTGTTGACATATCTTGAGGCGTCAAAAGTAGTTAACCATAATAAAGGTCCTTTTCCAGTAGGATCCGAGTATATGACCTAAATTATAAAAACATCCCATAATAAAATAGCAAAAAAATGTAATATCTGTTGAAAAATCTGTTTCATAATTAATGACGGTCTGGACACTTATTGTTCTTCTTCCTATAGCTGATCAATACCACCCTATTCTTGGTTTAGCTGACTTTTTTGGCTAGTCAAATTTAATCGTCAGAGAATCGCATAGAGGAATAAAAGTGTAGGTGAGTTTGAAGCATCACCAGAATTTTATTTCTGATAGCAAGCCTATTCAAGAAACAAAAACGAACTCTTAATACCTTCGCTGAAGTAACATACCACTTGACTTTCCTAACCCCATCTCAATGCACTCCGAAGCATTATAAATTCTTAACTTTCCATCTATTCCAGATTTTATTGCTATAGTTTATTCAGCAAAAATAGACTCTTACTCACATGTCCATTTCTGTGATCCTTGTTCCAAAATGGACTTTCATAAGTGACAACAAAGGTATAAGCATGACCTCTGGGTCTGTAATCATCTGCAAAAAATATAAATTTCGAAAACTTCATTTATTTAATTGATTTTCTAGTCTTCCTTCTTCCTGAAGATTTTTGTTTTGGTATTTCTTTTATTGAAAAAGCGTTCTTTTGATAAATATTTTATATGAAAATATAAAATATTTATTTTATATAAAAATTATTATCATTATTAGAATTATTTTATATAAAAATATTTTAATTATATATTTTGCTATATAACTAAATTAACTATATAAAGGTATACAAAAAAGTTGTTGTTGTGATAGAATTAAATGCGGTTCAAATGCCATTTGGGAGACGAGTAGTGGAGGTATTGCAATAATCACATCTCGAGCTCGATATGCTTTTTTTGTCGTTTCGATAATTACCTCATTTTCTGAAAATTTCATACTTTATATGTTAATGGAAATAAAAATTTTTCTTTGAAAGATCCATATCTCTCAAGTCTCATTTTAAAATAAATGATCTACATGATTAAAACTTTGATAGGTAAGTAATTTATAAAGGAGTAGAATGGCTAAGGTGGTGTCTTATCTCAAAGCATTGGTGCCGAGACTCGGCAAAATTAAACCTGTATATCTTAAATATCTTATTTACCTTTTCGGGCATATGCATTTTTATCGATTCCCTGGTAAAAATTTATTCGGTCCAAGGGGCGAACTTAACCAGAAAAAAGAAGGAAAACCAGATGAGTGCTTTTAGAAAAAAAAAGGAAACAATTAATTAATAAAAATTAATATTAAATTCCGCACCATTCTCTGACGTATTGAAGTAACCTTCGTATGAATCTTTTTTGTTGTCAGTAACTCGAATAACATTACTATTCAACTCCACTTCAATTCCTTCAGCTAATTTGCTAAAAATCGAGAAGTTGCAAGCATATAACTATTTTCTTTAATAGATGCATGAGGAGATAGGTTTTATTTTAATATTTATTTTTTTATTTATTTTAATTATTTTAATACAAGTATGACATGTAGGTCTGTAATTATCTGCCAAAATTTAAAAACTATATACAAGAAATATAAAAATTTCATTTGTTTATCATCGGTTTTCCAGTCTACCTGCATATTTTTATTTATTTTATTTTTGTTTCTTGAAGAACTTTCTTTGAAAAACATTTTAGAATATTTATATTTTGCCACTTTCAGTTTTCAAGTTTTCAAGGGTAAGGTTATTCTATGCGTTATAAGAAATTAATATTGGTTCTAAATGGAGGGCTCTTTAGATAATGGGATTTTTCAGGCAATTTGGTGATTTGACTCATTGTTATGCCTTGACATAAATTATCCATTTTGAATAAATAATACCAACTCAATAAGGGTTTGCAGCCCATTTTCTGCAATATACGATCCACCATGGCCAGTCGAAAGAAGCAGCTCAGTTAGATCCACTTGATCACTACTTGTTGTTATCGGGATTTGCAGAGCGGACACATCATGAGCCGGTGCATCAAATAAAGTCTGTAATGCAAATAAATATTATATCAACATGTGCTTTTTTATATTCTTCATAAAATAATTCTTTATAAAATTATAAAATTCATGAATCGTAAGCTATATTATCTAAATTATAGCATCCAACCTGAAGAAGACGATTAGTGTTATGTTTAATCTGAGAGTCCAAATGATGAGTTGCAAAGTATTCAGCAATGCTATAGGAATTCAGTTCTCGAGCTCGTGGTTCAGTTATAAAACCACTCAAATTTAATTTACCCGTTATTGGAAATTCCAAATCGATCTCTCTAGAAAAAAATAGATTTTATTCATGTATATCCATATTTAGTATTTTAAAAAAAGCATAAGATGGCTTATAATTTATTTAAGAATAAATCTTTATAATTCGTTTTATTTCATTAATATTATTAGTAATGATTTGTAAATTATTTATAAACTAGTAAAAAGATCAAATGGGCAAGCAAAATTCCTACGATTCTCAGTTTTCACCATAGCAGTTCCTCAAAGTTCATTTTTATTTTCAATAATTTTTCAAGCCTTAAGATAAAACTTTTGCACTTTTCAGAAAATTAAATAAAATAATAAACAAATTTTTAGATCTTTACACCATTTTAGTAATAATGCCTAAGTCATTTAATTAGTCGTAAGTAAAGAACAAAGCCAGGTTTGTTAGAAACTAAGACAGCTTTAAGATATAACAGAACCAAAAATACATTGATTTTAAGGTGCTAAGCTCGCATAAAGCGGTTTAGAGAATGTTGTTGAATTATGGCGCAATTTGGCCAATTGATAAAGAAATTATAATGATTAAACAGGAAAACATGGTTCAAAAAAAACGCACTACTGGCAAAAAGGTAAAGGTACAGATTTGATAGGTTCTTGAGATAAAATAATAAGGTTTGGGATATTCAGGGAATTCCGACTTTATTTAACGAAATGTGATAAGTGAGAGATGTTAAAAGTCGATATTCACAATTCATTAGATCTTTGCACCACCACAACAGGCCGAAATTTCGAAGTTGTGTCCATTTGTTCATTTCAAACAAAACAACTTATTATTTAGGAAGCTATTTGTATAAATCGAAATTATTGAAATAATGTACCTTTTATGTATTCTAATGTTAACATCCATAATTGTCGTTTTGCCGCACACTTTCTGTTTGACAGTATCAATTCCAAACTCAGATAAAAGGGCATTCAATTCATGATGCCTTGGGCCAATCCATTGACTACCTGCAAAATGTTTTTATCTTTTATTCGCTCAAAATTTAAATTAAACAATATTTTAATATTTCAATATTTTAATGTTTCAATATTAGGGTAAATTATTATTTGAGATGGCTCTAACAATATATGTCATCTTGTCAACAATGTCATCTTAATGAAGCCACAGATCTCACAAAGCACAATGAATCAACAGGTTTTTTTGCAAAAATTTCTGATCTCAATTTTCTCAATAATCTTTTTTAAAAGTTGTCTTTTTAATGGTTCTTAATGGTTTGATATGGTTTGATATTTCTTAATGGAATGGTTTAAATTTAAAAAATTTGACCTATGTCAAACTTTTTTTCTGTTCCATTTGTTGCTTTCATCGAGATAGATTTTATTCGTCCACCTAATCTCGATCGTCCTTCAAGTACAAGGATTTTTATGTTAGAGATTTTTTTGCATAGAAATCTTGCAGCGCTTAATCCCGATAGTCCACCACCGACTATTATTACATCGTAGACCTTAATTAAATTTAAGCCTAAAATCCTTTAGGGTAAAACCTTTAATTTCTATGATATGCAAGAATATTGCATGACAGCTTTAAATTCATTAAATTAAATTAAACTAATATAAGTTTTATATTAAAAAATATTTATTTGCTCACAGTTTTTGCCAGCGATAAATTTAGTTTATTTAATAGACGATGCTTTTTCAATAAAATTCTGGATTTCTTAGTGATACGGATTCATGAACTTTTTGAATTTGTACAAGTGGAAATTTCGTTTTTGTCTAAAAGCACTTAAGCATAAATAGGGTGTTAAGTTAAAGATATGAATATTTCTGATATTCTCTGTTCGATTAAGAGATGACAGTATCTGCAATGCATCCATTGAAGTATCACTTACTGTATTTGGAAATTGCCTATTGCCAATGTAGACATTTGGCGACGGCGGACTAGTTTCATTAATATCACCATTTCGATCATTAATCCCCTTCACTGAATTGTACAACGAAAGAATTAAATATAGACATATCAATTCCATTAAAGTAGCTAGAATAATGGCAAAAATTGGCCAAGTTTTATTTGAGAATAAGAAAATAAGAAACATTATAAAAAAGAATTAAATTTTCTCGTTCTTTAAGGTAGTTCAAAATTCAAAGTTCCAAATGTCATCGAATCAATAAAGGCATTAGCATTGCAGCTAATATAGCCAGCCTAACTAGTAAAGATGAGCACTATTAGCACAATATGGTCGGAACTTTATATGCAAAAGGTATTAAAAATGTCATATTTGTTTCATTCATTCTTAATGAAAATTAAGAGGAAAGACGAGTTCATTTTTAATCTAATTTTTAATAATCATTTGGAATTTATCTTGGTATCTCGTCAAGATGTCGAATAGAAGTCGTACGAGTCTAGAATTTGTGTAAAATATCCATTAAAAAATTCAGGCTATTCGTAAGACAGTCAGATAAAATTTGCAATAGCTAAGGATCGAAACTTTGAAAAGTCTGCGACATACAAATATAATAAAAGTGAAAAGCATTATAAAGAATCAAGATTTTTCAACATATAAGAAAAAAATATTTCGTGCTTGAAAAGCCAGTTATCTTCGAATTATCAACGAAAAACTGTTTGCATGCCTAAACTTTTCGATTTCTCTTCAAACTATTATGCTATGGAACTTTTTTGGTGAATACCTTATCGCTACTATTACATATTTTCTTCTCATAACTTTAAAATCTTTCCATGATTATAGATAGCACTAAAGCTATAGATAGCCAAGAATCTAGGAAAAAATCTCTCAATAAAGAACTGATCGATCAATAAGTAATAATATAATACTGAAATAAAATTGTTTGGAATTGCTAAAAAGTACCGAAGCATAAATTCAAATCTATAGAATACAAATTTTCTTGCCTTGAAATGTCTTAAAATGCCTTTAAAAATGTGCGAACTAAAACGCACTTTTAAACTTTTATAATAAATTTGAAATTTCTTAAAAAATTTTTAGCTCCTGGACAAATTTTTCAATTCTTATAAATGTCATTTATTTTTGCCTAAACAGAGCATATTTTAGTTTTCTCCTAAATAGACTCTAAAAATTTGAGGATTTTGACAAGTATATCGATTTTCTATCTGAAGAACTCATATTATTTTATAGTGCCGAAGTTAATTTTTCATGCATCACCACGCTGAATTAATACCAAATCGAATATTTTTTTTCTCATTAATTAGTACATTTTCTTCTAATAATATCCATATGCTATTAAGATTGCATCCCTTTAAAGTCGATTGACGCTAGACTAACACCTGCATCTCTAGCATTGTTCGGATTTTCATTCTCGTCGCAAAGCAAGAGTTGTATCTTAATCGAATCAGCATGCCAATCAGCTATCCTAGTATTCCCTAATACTAGTACTATTGAAGAAGATCGAATTGTAAGGCTTAGTTACCAACAGAATTTTATAAAATTTTTCTTTTTATAAAATTTTTGAGTATTTTTTGAATAGACTTGATGGGAATGAATATAAAAAACATATGATTTTTGAACAGAACAGATAAATCAAGCTGAAGGCCAACACTTTCATGAATAGAAACCTACATGAATTGAATCATGAATTGAAAATGCTGAAAATGATCAAAGACGAGTTAACGACATATTTGCAACGATTGAGCTCGGGTGAAAAACTGGATTTCCAATAGCTTAGTAAACATATAGGATGATTATTCCTAGTTAACGAACAATTAAGGCGAACTCGAGATTATTTTTCTATGTTGACATGAACTTAAAACATAAAAAGCCCATTCTTTTCCATCGATCTTCGATAGAATATCTAGATGTATTTTTTTTGTTATTAACAATATAGTGAAATATTTGCTTTTTTTATTCAACTTAATTCAGAGTCAACTTTCCCCAGTAAAGGGATTCGAATCATTTTAAATTATGATTATAAAGAATGAAATTCAATAATTAAAATCGAAAATAAAATTCAATTCACAGAGTTAAGCTTTGGAGGTCGATAGTCTTCCAAAGATCATTCGACTCATAACGACGCTTTTCCAGCATATATTCAGCTTTTCTATGCATATGAAGAACTGGCAAATCCTTTCGAAATAAGTACTAGTATTTGCAGGGTTGAGCCTTTTCCTCTACAGCCTTCACTTATACGATTATGGATACCTTACAATCCTGAGATTTTACCAGAGATTGTTGAAATATCTATTTTTACCAATTAATCGCAGATTGAGGAAGATACAGGTTTCCTATATTATAGGCTTTTTTCCTATCCCTAAAGTGACTTTCTTTACCTATTTGGTTTCTTTTTACCTTTACTTGAAAATTTCTTGAAGTTCCGTGAAAGTTTTGACTTGAAAGTTTCAAGGATTGAATAACGTTAAAAAGAATGTTAAGTGGTTAAATTTTAAATATAACTAGATCAAATCTTTGTTTTTAGCGAATAAATTAGAAAATTATTCTTCTTTTTGACAGTCAACAGTCGAACAAAAAAAAAGTCTCCTAAACCTTCTTGACGGCCCTTGATTTCATACGATATATATTTAAATTCAAATTTGACTACTTCTTATCTATTTCTTTGACTTTGAATTTTGATCGCTTTGCTAATTCCACTTATATTCTATATTCTATTCTATTATATTCATATTTCGAGCGAATTGAGGATACAAATGTTCAATTATCACGTCAGTTGATTCTTCTTCTTCTAACTGCTCTCACCATTACTGGTTAGGCTGGCTTCAACGGCTACAAGGGTAAGACGCTTCCAAAAAGCGCGATCTGATGCCATCGTTGACAATAATAGAAGCCATTCCTTTTTCCATCGTCTAAGTCCATATATTGCTGGTCCACCTATACGTTCAAAATCTTTTCTCGCCGTATCAGTCTAGGCCTTGATTTCCTAGTTTTTTTTTAACCTTTTATTATAAATCTTAATAATTGTACTTCGATTAAAACTGTGGCCTTGATTTGATTTGTGATCTCCTTTTACGGAAATAAACAATAAATTTTTCAATAAAATTTCCAGAAATCCAGATAGACTCGTGTTTTTATTCCTAAGTGACTCTCTGACTCCTAATAGCTGATGGCGATAATCAGATTACATGGTGAGTGCTGTTAGATGAAAAAAATAATTCTAACTTTTCTCATAATATAAATTAATCATTAGGTAAAAGAAATAATTAAGTGAATTTTTTTCAAAAAACTATTTGGCCATAGAAATAAAAGCAGTTTCTAGCCAGATTCTTAATGACCAAGATCAGGAAAATGAACCTCTGATGCTTGATCGAAAAAAAAACAACCACGCTATTCGTTAATCTCCTGTAAATAGTGAAGTGATTGCAAGTGGCATATACGGACTGCAAACTTTAGGAAATTATTTAAATTATTTAGGAAATCATTTATATTTACGGATATCTGTTATATATCATCATCTTTTTACAGGATTTTTAGAGTTCAGTTTTTTTAAAATTTATTTTGGAATATTTTAATATTAATATTTATTTTGGAATATCTTAATATTTTGAAAATAGTTAATGCATACTTTCGCTGTTGCACTTCTGGATCGTATTTCAGCTATTCGACTGCAACTGATGATCGGTTTCCATCAGTTGTTTTCAACATTTGCATAAAATTTATGCTATGTGGATTTTTAGGCACATTTTGCAGTTGATCATTTCGCAGTTGATCATATCAATCATTTCATACAGCTTGTTTGTTCAACATATTCAATCATTCATCGTCTTCACAAATGGCACAACAACCGATTTGCTTTTTATTAAAATTCGATCATAATTTCTAGCTGAGTGGAAAAATAAGGAAGTAGATGGCAAGATGATTCCAGTTTTTTTCCAATGTCTTAGAATAGACTTATTGAGCTAACATTTCTTACTATTCTTGCACTGGACTAAAACCCTCTAGAATATCTTGTTATTGGCGCGCAATTGGGCAATATTCTTTTCAAGTAAAGGCTTCTGTGATCTTATCGATTCTAGATTGTCCCATTAAATTAGTTCATCGTTATGAGTCCCTAAGCATCAAAATCAACGACACTCTTTCTGACACAAAACCTGTTAAACCTGATGTTACCCAAGGTAATTGTATTGCGCCATTGCTTTTTCTATTATATATAAATGATACCACCAATGTGGTACTAAATTCTATTGTTTATTTTATCTTTATACTGATGATTGTAAAATTTATTATTCTCATGGTAGATCAGATAGCCTATATCCACTGCAGGAGGACCTTAACAGAATAACCAGCTGGCTACATGGCAGGCAAATTACCCTTTCCTTTCAAAAATGTAGTGTTCTTCATATCAATTCTAAAGGTCCCAATTTTCTTAATCTTATTATTAATGGCAATATAATCAGTAGAGTCTCACACATTTCCGATCTTGGTATAATCGTGGATGAAAATCTCGATTTCGACCTTCACTGTAGAACCATTGTAAAGAAATCCTCAAAGATACTAAATTTTATTTTTCGTTCGTTTAAGAACAAAACTGAAGATTTCCTTATCAAAATGTACAAATGCGTTCGTTCGGCCACTTCTTGACTACAATGCTATATGTTATTCCCAGAGATATTGTAAATCAAGTAATATAATTGAAGGACACCAAAAATATTTTATACAGCGCCCCTTTTCTAGTTGCAATTTTTATTATAAAAGAAAACTTCTACAATAAAACCTGGATGCTCTATCAGTTCGTCGGTTAAACAAGATTTGATTTTTACTTATAAGATTTTGTATGGTTATGTTAAATTAGATTGTTCAAAATATTATAATTTAAATTTAATCCAACAAGAACCTTCTTTATTCGTAATATTAATTTCTGGAATAAATTACCGAACGACATAGCTTGTGCGCCATCCCTAGCTATCTTTTAAAAAAGAATAGATAATATCATTTATGATATTATTTAAAAAGTTCAGATCACGCAGGAAGTATGAAATCTCGATTTTTACCATCCAATTATAATTATACTATATTATATTATTCTGTAATTTCCTCTTTCTTTCATC